TGTCAACGTCGTCACGGGGATCAGCCCAGGGCGATGACAACTGAATGCGGCTTATGGGTCGGATTCGACCAAGCGTTCGACTTCGTCTCGAGTCCAATCAATGCCTCGGCGGGGCTCGTGTGCAGCTGGTGCAATGACAGAAATCCCCGAGTTCCAGGAATGTGCGGGGCACAGCGCCTGCCCTCAACACTGTCAACCGCAGCTTGTGAATTTGATCAACACTGCTGGCACATAGCCAAAAAAATTAGTTGACTGCATTTTTTTTTTAGCTATGGCGTTTAATTTGTTTTTGTATCCAAGCAATTTTTTTCCTTTTTTTACACAAGATCTTAGTCAGTAAATAGTTGGAGCATGTACATCTGACGGCCACAAGTTTCTGTCATTAATCGTCCGCAAAAAAAAAAAAAAAAAATGTTTATTTTTTAGCTTTTTATTCTTAGGATCATTTCGTGTGTCAATTTTCGAGTGATCTAGCATTGCTGAGCGCTGATAACATTGCGTGGGGGTTGTGAAGATGGGATGTCTAAGCTCCACACGTACCTCTGGTATCTTGTACAACTATTAACAGGTGTAAACAAATGACTGAAGCGCGCTCCTACACAGTTTTTCTATGCCTTACAGATTTGTTTGGAAAAGGCCGTAAAGTTACAGTTGTGGGGTGTTTGCAGGTGAGTTATACGGACAGGGGGACAGAATATACGGGATATTCATCACGGGAAGTCGGATAATGTATCAGTTATCTTTTTCATTTGGGAAAATAAACATATGGTTGAAATACGAAACAGGCTGAGCGTCATCAAAGATCACTAAATGGGTAAATTTCAGAAAGATGTGGGGCACGTGGGAAGCGCGATGGTGCGCTAAAGCACAGCCTCCTCTATACTCACAACGCCTGGCAGTCCGACGACGGAGCCATAGAGTGCCCGGTCGCAGATTTGGAGCGCGAGGATCTGGTAGCACAAAGCATTTCTCGGGGAGCCTGTAGTCAGCGCACAGCTTTTGCAGCGGCGAGGACCCGAAACATGGTTTTGCAAAATCGCCGAGAAAAGAAGCGGCAGCCCGATGAACGCGAGGAGCACGAGAGAGCATTCCATCGCTCGGTAGAAGTGTGTTTCGGCGTCTCGCCGCAGCGGAGCGCCCGTCACGTGCCTCTCCTCTCATCCGTAGTCTTCCGCTCTACCTTTTCACTTTTGGCTGCCGTGTCTCGTGGCGATTAGTGGCGATCCGTCAGGCTTTGTCAGTATAGAGGAGGCTATGGCTGAAGTCACCGCTCGTGCAATGGACGCAAGGCTAGCGGCGAAAAAACGCGCCCCAATTTTTTTTTTTTTTTTCCCCGCCTTGCGTTTCCGCATTGCCAGCGTCGGGATTACGACACGAATTATAACCTTAGCGCAGACGTGAAGTTTTTTCACATGTACTTATTTAGTGGTTTTCAATGAGGCTCAGGGTGCTTCAACTTAGATCCGTACTCGTACGTTTATTTTCAACAACTAGGAAGTTAACACATTCATCTTACTTAATTCTCCGAGGTATTGTGACGATAGGTCTTCACGGATTTTCTTAAATACAAATTTGTAAAGCATTAAAAACATAAAAAATAACCTTTTATATGACCAATAGGTATTCATCATAAAAGCTATTTGGCAAAGCCTCTAAAGAAATATCATTGCAATTTTAAAAAGAAGTAACGGCGGAGCGTTTTTCTTAAATTTCCCAGCCGCATAGTGGATTTAGCGATCCAGATATTTTATATTGTCTTTCATTTAAGAGAGTAGAAGAAAACAAACAATAACAATTTACATATTTTACCTCCGAGAAAATATTCAGTATTCACTGAAAATAGAGCTCCAGGAACTCCAAGAATTTAAAAATATGGTCCACTAAAATGCTCTCTTTTGAATTAAATAGCGAGTTCGTTTCACGGCACTCGTGCCCACGCGTGCCCACTCGCAGCGTGGAACGGATTCGTTTCGGCCGGCACTCCACGAGTGGTTGCACTCTCCGAGTTCGTTTCAGCGCGGACACCACACGCGTGCATGCACTCGCTGCACCGAGAAAATCGGGAGTGCGCCAAAATGCAATCCCGTCATGCCTCGCTCCGGTGGGGCCGGCGAGGAGCGGGAGCAGACGACGATGGTTCGTCTGCTACGATGTGTCGCGGAACCGAACGGAAAAAAAAAAAAAAGTAGATTTTCTGATAGAAATCGCGTCCCGCGGGCAACGAAATCAAACGCAAGCTTGGATTGTGAGCGTTTGCTGTTTCACGAAGGAAGCAATCGACAACCCCTGATTTATTTGCAGGTTTTAAATCGCTTTGTCGCCGTACAGACGCTGAAATAAAGTGTAAAGAAATGCTCAGAACAAACGCAACAGCGGCCCCCGAGATGTCTATCACCATCCGTGTGCGGGTGAAAAATTTAACATTTGTCGACAAAACTCCTCCAGCAGAAACCTCTGACTGCCCAATAAGCATCAGAGAAAGCTAAAGATGGAGACTTTACCCGAGGATTGGGCAACATCATCATGTTTAACATTTACCTACGTCAGCTAACTTGTCCCGTCGTATTTTGTTCGACGCCGTACCGTTTCAGTGGTCTTCTTCATAATACCATGCTGAAACGGATCAAGCTTCTGCTCGGACAGCAGCATCAGTTTTCTTCAGTGTAAACGGTTATAAGAATTGAAAGATCGCAACCAGTTGCTTTGCAGACGGCTGGTAGCGGAAATTTACGCCGTCTGTAATTTTCTCTACATCAGCCTAGCTGCTTGAAGTCATCGCAACTATAAACTACAGGTTGCCGCGACCAACGTTTGTAGATAAACGTTGGTAGCGACTGCATTCTCGCATTCCCACGCATCACTCCGAACAGAAAGGCGCTAGTTTCGGTTTGAAGTCAGTACCTTTTCTAGAACATAGATGGCGGCAGCATCAGTCTTCTGCACTCGGTGCATTTGGCGTGTTCGTTTGAGTCCAGTTTTCCGTGCAACACTCTGTGAGTGCGATGCATTCTGGGAGAGAACTCGAACGGTGCCAGTGCGTGTGAAACGAACTCGCTAAAAGAGAGTCGTAAAGAACTGCACAATTTGGTCAAAAGCTGCATCGCTTCAAAAATTCCTATAAAAATGCAAAGGAAGGCAACAGCCTGAACCAGTGGCGTGGGGAGGGGAGGGGGGGGGGGGGGTGGGGGGGACTCGGGCACCAGGAGTCCCAGTCACGGGGGGAGAGGGAGCTACCTCTAACAGCACGTACCCCGCGCCGCGCCGCGCCGCGCCCCGCCGCACCGCTCCGCCCCCCCCCCTGCTCTCCCACCCCCCTGCCCCCTACACGCTTTAGTGGTTGGTTGCGATCTCGCGGAGTGAATTAGGGATGGGGGGTTATTGGGGCGACACTACGCCACTGACCTGAACCCGTGACGAAGTTTCGAAACGCCCGGCCGCGGGCCATTGTAGTCGCACGCGAGCCACTCGTCAACACTGCGATCGACGGGGTGTACGCGCTCACACCTTTCTAGAGGTTTGTGTCGAGAAACCAATAAAAAGGGAATTGTAAGATCTCGAAAATGACAGGCGATGCCGAGAGCTTTCAAACACTACATTCGAGGTGAAGGTTGGCATCACCGGGCTGCCTTCCTTCGAGGCAAAGAGTCCTCTGACTTTTTGGCGGGCATGGCAGTTTAGCCGGAAGGAAGTGATGTCATTCAGTCGTTTTCGGCCGCTTTGAAGCTCTTTTCTTAGCGTCCAACATCTTGGGAACTTTTACACCTGCTCTTGGATGTGCCTTATAACGAAGGTAACGGAACTTCATCCCCACGAAATAGTTTTACAAAGGCACGAAGCGGTCAAATGTCCTTTATGCAAAGGAGCCGTGCACGGCAAAAGCCGGAGGCCCGCTTGTATGCGAGCGAGGACAGTCCTTTAGATGCCTTCACTTCAAGCTGATCTTCATTAAAACATTCATAGACTTATACACTAACACTGAAGAAGACCTACTGGCCTCCGCGCTATAGAATTTCTTCAAATTTCACCCTTATATTTACCTATCTTATAGAGCAACACGCTGCTTGCCAGCAGGGTTGTCAGGTCTTGGAGGAAAAAACAAGCTAAAAAATTGCCAAGAGTAGTAAAAAAAGCAGCCAACATGAGCCGAGGGTGTTTTTTGTAGCCAAACAGTAGCCAACACGCGAACACACGCAAAAACGTCGGGTATTATTTCTGATACGCGCAAAAAAGAGAGCAACATTGTTTTCGCTTTTCTTGCTGGAGTAACAATATAAAAGTAGTAGTATATATCACAGGAAGTTGTACATAAAATATATAAGTAAAAATGAAGTTCAGTAGCTCCGAAAGTTCACGCAGGCGCTTTATGGGCAAGTGGCAGGCGGAGAATAGAGCAATCTTCAGAGCTAACTTTTTGTTGTATTTTGTTTCAGTCGAATAGCAGGCTCGACGACACCACCCTCCCGCTGCTGATCGTTGGGTGTTACTCTATTGCGATGCATCCTTATTTCCGCATGCTTTATGAGATTGGCTGATTTGGATGAAGCTATAACACGGTTTCGCTTTACTGCACAGGGCGGAACAAACTGCGATCCGCGGTTCACGAACAACATCCCGCCCAACTGCTATTTAGATTCTTCAAAACACTCAAATCGTTTATGCAAAAGTGTCATGGCGTTACAAATTCAGGCTGGGATTCAGCGTTAAAAAGTAGCCAGAAATTAGCTAAGTAGCCAACCTGAATCTTTAGTAGCCGTGGACCTCAAAAAGTGGTCCATTAGGCGCAAAGTAGCCAAACCTGGCAACCCTGCTTGCAAACATGTCCGCGAATGCCCATACCAGATGTAGGCGTGAAGTCAAGCGCCTGCGCACATGCGCCGCGCCGACAGCAGCGCCACCGTTGAGGCTTGACGCGAGACTTGTTCGATGATGTACACGAATGGCGTCCGAACGGCACAGCAGCGACAAAGTACCAGCAGGCAAGTGCGCTCAACCGTACTCACAGGATGCGCCGTTCCTCCATCTTTCGCAGGGCCTCGTCGCGCTTGATGACGCGCAGGATGGCCTCTTTCTCGGCCAGGGTCAGCTGACTCAGGTCCAGATCCATGCCTCTTTCCGGCGGCCCCCGGGCCACTCCGGGCGTCATGAAGAAGCGGCCCGCCAGGTGCATTCTGGCGGCGCGGGGCCACAGCGCGCCTTCCTGCTGACCTCGACGCTGGTCGCCATGGCCGGGGCCTCCGCGGCACTCTGGCACGGCCGTCGGAGCGGGTCGTGCCCTCGACGCGCACTCGAGCACCACCACCTCCTGGCTAGACTCGCTCACGAGGAGACCACCGGCACAGACAACTTCCCGCACTCAGCAAGAGCCCGCACCCGGTAAGGGCCCGCACTCAGCAGGAATCGCTTCAGCAAGGGTCCGCACTCACTAGGAATTGCTTCCTCAAGGGAGAGCACTCGGCAGAAACCCACTCAGCAAGGACCACACTTAGAAGGAGTCGCTTCACAATGGCTTACATTCAGCAGGAGGGCCCAAACAGAGCAGGAATTCATTCAACAGAGGTGAAACTCTGGAGGAACTGCTGTAAAGAGGGAACACACCCGGCAGAAATCCATTCAGCAAGAGACACACGCAGCAGGAATCGCCTCAGCAAGAGGCTACACTCAGAAGGAGTCGCTTCGGTAAGGGCCCGCACTCAGCAGGACGGCGCTAGCAGGGCGCTTGAAGAGGCACAATCCCTTCGGTCACGACGTGTCTTGGCGACACTCCTCGGAATGTCCTTCCGTTTCGCTACACAATCGGCACTTTTGGAGGGTCAAGCTACTCGGAGACGAAGACCAGTGGGAAGGGGATTTTCGTATCCACGCTGCAGATAGAATTGACACTGATACCTGGCGAACTGCGCGTCTGGCCGTTAGATCCCCCCGTGGACCTCGCAGCGGCTCTTCGGGCTTTTCTCCCGATACACTTCGCGCACAATTCACACACACTCATACACGGAACGACCGACTTGAGAACACTCGAGATCGATCAGCGACAGGTGGGCGGGTGCCCAGGTAGTGAAGTTTCTCGTTCGTTTCTTTTTTCTCTCTCCCTCTCTCCCTCTCTCTGCGAAGCTCGTTTTGTTTCCGCAGCTCCGTCAAACACTAGCCGGCGGGAAGATTCGTCGAAGTTTCTCTCACAACCTTTCGAGCTTCAGGCTTGCGTATGTCGACGTCGTAAAGTGCCTACCTCCGTCTCTCAGAGTGACGTACTTCCGTTTCTGCTTAGGGAGAGAATCTCTTCTCCCCGCCTTTTCGGTTTTGTATATATGTGCGCGCCGACGATTCGTAAAGGCGTTCCGGTGCTCCCAGTTGCGTTCTCGGAGGGTGTCCCCCGGGAGGTCGCTCAAGGCACGGCCGTGCTAGAAGAAGAAGGCAGGGTGGCAGCTGTGCGCTGCGTTGCCGTCCACGGGGCCTGGAGGTGCGTCGTTCGCTCGATCCATTGTCACTGGCCCCGGCGTCTCATGTTGGCTCGATCTGTCACCTGAGGAGAAAAGATGACGCAAGCGTCACGTCACATATTCAACAAATGGTGAACAAAAAAAAATCCTTTAAAATAAATATTGTTTAATTTTTTTCTTCTTTTTTTTTTAAGCAGCTGCAGGTTTTGACGATATCCGACACATAGCTAGCTCAGCGAGAAACATACGGTTTTTTAAATGTTCACGTATCGCGCTCGGTTTTCTTCTTTTTTCCCTTTTCTTTTCACTTGCGATTCTGCAGCAGCTGCGCGCGTGTGCATGTATGTGCTGCAGATGCCGCGTTCGAATGTCTCTGCGAAACATTCAGTGCACACAAAACAAACAAAATGAAAAAAAAAGTCAAATTTACTTATCGCGGGTGAACTTTATATGACCTGGTGTTATATGCGAATGCTTTCAACGGGGCAGAGAAATCGCACGCGATATCTCTCAGTTTCATATTCAGTGTGACGAACCGTATAATAAGCGGTAACGAACTTTACCGCGATAATCAGTCGTCACGAGGTACCGCACAGACTCCGTGTGCTAAGCTCGCTTTCGTTTTTCTCCCCTCCAAATCGCTCGAAAGCAGTGTTTCCGCGGGTCGAGCATTATGAAATGTACCTTTAAGACAGCGATCACGCCACTCGTATACTTCACACAGGAGACACGGTGTCGCTGCAGACATGTATATATGACAATTATTTTCGGGCACACCTCAATCACCTTAGTTTTGTTTAACCCGCCTAACAAAACTATGGTTAACTTCCACCAGCTCGCCTGCACCCTTACAATTTTTTCACTCTCAATCACCTGTTTGCCTCATGCTTATGTGCATAATGCATGTTTCGAACATGTCTACACACAGTTCTTTTTATTCACCTATATGACGGGACCGACATTTAAGGAAGAAACACGCCTAAGAGAGTATATCTGTATACTATCTTTTCGTATAATGTATTTAGGGCTTGTTCAGACATCTCCGTTCGAGCGTTACCGACTGTGTTACGGCCGCTTGTATGATTGCTTTAGAGGAGATTTTGTTGCTATTGGCAAACGAGGTTCTCGCAGCAACGCTTCGTATACTGCAACGCAAGTAATCGTAACACAGCCGGTCACACGCAAAACACAACTGTGCGAACCAGCCTTCACGGTGTGGATAAAAGATGGAAAAAGCGCTAAAGGGCTGAACTACAAAACCACATTGCTCGGGGGCGGGGGGACGGCGAAAGTAGACCAGCAGGACATGGTATCCGGGTCCCACCAATCGCTCCCGCAATTCTCGGACCGTCGAAAACTTTTTCACATTTCGGTCACCAATAACGCGGCGTAGGTCACGCTGGTTCCCTTTTTACTCGAGTCTTCTGAAAGGCATATACGCAGTTCGCGCGCTGCGCCAATAACGTCAAAAAAAAAGAAAAGAAGAAAAAAGAATCGAGGCTTAAAACGCATTGAAAACGTATTGTCCGCGCATTTAAAGTTCGAGTTCTACCGACGCTCTACGTGATTTACTCTATGGCGTCGATGCAATTTGATGCGGACCGCACGCCACGTTTCCGCTACAAAAGTGCTCTAACACACCGCTCAAACCAGGTCACTCCATTTCTGCGAGAATGCAGTTCTGCAAAAACCAAAATAAAAAATTATAAAAAACACAAAAAACCCAATGCAATAAGGCAATAAAGATAAATAGTACGAGAACTTAATACGAGTGGGAAAAAGGTTTTGTAATAAGACTAGAGTAGGAACGAGGACGCCTGAAAAATCTCGTCATACGGAGGCTCTGAATAGGAAACACCTTGTTTGCACCTATGCAAAACGTTGGAAGAATCTGAAAGAGAAATATGGATCGCTCTATATTTATTTATTCGAGTAGCTTACAACGCATATTAAAAATTGTTGAGCTACGCAGTGTCTGACATGAGTCATCGATTCGTCATGAAGGTTTTAATATAAAATCAAACCCATGTTCATTCAGCGAAGCCAATTGGTACGAATGAAATATGTTTAAACAAATTTTACTATCTGAAAAAGTACATTTCCGTCGCACTCGCACAGCTGGCACCGGGAACAAGAAATTATTTTGAGACCGTTTTTCTACTTCTATTCTAGTGTATCGTCCCATAACCACGTCTTGCCGCTGACATCCCTTCATTCGATTCTGACATCACATATACGCGCAAGGTCTATTTCAACGTATGTACGAAGAAACTGAGGCAGAAAAAGTCACCGGGGGAGTACGAACGAAGATGTTAGCGCACTAAATGACTTCCACACGCTGCAGGCACAGCTTGGGATGAACCAGTGGTCGCATATTTATATGTACGGAGATGGGCGAAAGCGAGACATAAAAATTCAAATAAAGTGCACGGCTCAACCGCTCGAAACTACGTGTGAACACACTTCGGAGCGAGCAAACGCAGGACAAAACAAACGAGCAAACGCAAAGCGAGAAACCATTGGCAAACTGTCTTCCGCAGTATTTCACCCATGCACCACACGTGATACCTGTCGCTTCATTGCAGCGCGCAACACAAAAAAGGCTGCACAACTGACGAAACAACCATCCTCTCCCCGGAACGCAAAATATCACAAGGAATCGCTAACGACGCACACACCGAGAGCAAACTTTCCCCGACCTTCACTTTCAATCCAGGCAAAAAAGAATCCGCAAGAATGCTTCCCGGAAGCCTCACACACCCCAAAGCGCACGGCGACTGTCCGCCCGACCACTCAGCTAAGCAAACAAGTGGGTAGCTAAAGCGAGCCAATCCTCAGGGCAGGCGACGCGCCCGCGCCGTACTACTCACTCGAACGCTGCACCGGCCCTGGACGTGAAACGACGAACGAAGGCGAGCCACGGCAGGCGCAGGTCCGCTTCCCGGGGGTGGCTGGCTCGTTCCCACCGCGATCAGGGCGGCAACAAGCCCGTCGGCCGGAAAAGCAACACGAAGCGCAAGAGGCGGAGAAACGGAAGCCACGGTAGCGCCACCTGCCGAAGTTAAATGCAGCCCGGCGGCACCGGCGAATAGAACCGAGGTGGTGAGCTGCTCAGAGGCAACGACAGAGGGCAGTAGTTGATACGAACCAATAAATATCGTTTCGCTCAACAGGCACTCGGATCGAAAAGCTGGGGTGGCGAGAATTGAGGGTGTTTTACGAGCTTTTTTCTCTTCCGGCGTCTTTGCTGCGAGGACGAGAGGGATGAATGGAAGTAGCCCCCGACCGTTCCCCTGCTTCCACTTCGATCCGGGCTGAAGACCGAAGAGCGGGATGAAGGAAAGCGCATCAAATAATACCGGGTCCTCTTCTATGCCGCCAGCCACTTCGATTTTGGGAGCACGAGAGGGCATTTCTGGCCCGCATCAAGGAGCATAGCGGTCTTCCGTCTTTCATTCCACCCACTCTGTTACTTCCGTGCCGATTTTCTGCGAGTCGGACGGAGAAACGGGCTGTTTAGTCGTTCTCTGTATGTCGCCTACAGACAGGGAAAGCGAACAAGTGTCTTCAGAAAGCGATATCGACCGCAACTACTTACAGGGTGTTCTATGATTTATTCTCTCTAGGTCACGTGGGTACTCTGAACTTAATAATAAATAAACTTTTCTCTTTTTTTCTCTCTCTCTCTCTCGTATTTTGTGTACGCGCCAAGCCCGACCACGAGCGCATAGTATGTTCCCGCAGAGGACGTAAGATTAACAATATAATTGACGTCACCGGGTTACCTCAAGTGTGCGACGTAAAAGAGCACTAAAGTATATTTTGAGGTTGCTTCTTTATTGGTGATGACTCAAACTACGTGCCCTGAGCGTCATAAAGAAAAAAAAAATAACCTAATTACTTTCATGCGTGGCTTTTTCATTAATTAAAATACGCGACCAAACATCAGGACACCAATATTTCCTTAGATATATCGGGGAAATCGGCTGCGTTGTCGAAATCCACTCTAGTGCTGCCCTTTAAACCTTAATGACACGGCGCCAACTCGCCAACCCTGCGGTAACCCCGCCTCATGCCGGCACCTTGATCAGCCGGTCTTCGAACGGGCCCACTGGAAATGGCAGTGGCCCCGGTGGTCACGTTTATTTGATGACAGAATATTTTGCACGCCGTTTTAATTATACATTTCTTGCCATTTTCATAATCGTCTATCCTCCCTCACAATAGTGTCCCTTTTGAACATACATGATTGAAACAACAAAAGGAATGAGATCGACTTTTGTGCGCATTCAATTCAATGTTTTTTTTCTGAAGTGAAGAACATGTTCCCACTAAGGTGACCGGCTAGATTATACTATAGGATACTATGTATAATAAAAATGACTTAGAATTATGAAATATGTACGCGATGAATAATGCATTGAACTACGCACTTACCCTGAACTACGCACGTACCCTTGTAAATCATAAGAACGTACACAATTACACAATTAGTGGTTATGCGATAACGGCATATATGCACGCTCAATTAAAATAATCTAAAAGCTGACACAAGAGCGGAAATAAAGGTCATACTGAGCATTTCAGAATAACACACGCTTATGTTTTCCTCATTATTTTATTTAATAAATATCGATACTTTCCTAGAAAAGAAATTGGAGACGTGAGATTTAGAATTGGATATAACAATAGAGAGAGAGAGGGGAGAGAGAGGAAGAGGAAGAAAAGAGTGAAATAAAATGCGTCTGAATGGAAGTTTAGCCGCGCATTTAGTTCGGGGGCCACGAACCGCATTCGCGAAATAGCGAGAGTTCCTTTGTAGACACGCTCAGGTAGTACCAAGGAGGGGAAAAAAAAAAAGAGGCAACCGAAACAAGGAAACGTCGGCCTTCGGTCGAAACACTTCGCGCAAAGACGCTCCGCAAAACCTCCAAGAATATATATCTATAAAGAAAACCAGTAAACCGCGGTGAGGAAAAAAATAGAGAAAGGAAGGTTCCACCAGCGCCCATTCCAGACACTCCGATCCGTGCGAGCGAGGGTTGCACAGAAAGCAGCGGCGGTCATTAGCGAAAAGCAGACCGGTCAGGCTCTCTTTGTGTGCTCGGGTTCGAACGTTTTTTTACTCGCTGCTCCGCAAACCACCCCCGCCATTTTCAGAGCCCGCGAAACAACTTGGACAAAAACTGCTAAATCACCGTCATTACGCTTGCACCGACGCCCCGCAACCTTGGCGACGCGGTGGACTCAGTGGCATATACGACGCGAGAGATTTTGGGACGCCTGGCGTGTCCCACATTCGGATAATTTTCAATTCAAACCCGAAACGCTTTCCTGGGCGCGAGATTACGGAGGCGGGCATATGTATGACCCCGTGACTGTGTATGAAGAGGAAAAAAAAATATAGAGATATAGACGGATTGACGCAACTGGATATCTTGAGTAAAGAATCAAAAATGTATTTTATGATTTTTAGGTGTTTGCGGATCGTTCGACCCTTTCTTCATTGTGTACGGAATGCATAATTCTGAAAACAACAACAGAAAACTTAGGGCATCCTATTTTTCTTTGAGTTTGAAAGCGGGCGATCCCAAGATATCGGAACAAATTGTTCATTTCATCAGCAACACTTCTGCCTAGAATCATTTATCATCCAGTGCAAAATCTCGAATAAAAACTAATTGCTCCACACTAAAAAAAAAAAAAAAGTTTAAAGTTTTTTTTTTTGACAATGTTTGGTTTGAGTTGTCGAGAAGAATTTGTTAACCATTTGGAACTTTTCACAACTTCTTGACTTGACTTGCTCTTTCCTATTCTTGCACCTATCCGCGGGGGCAAAGTGTGCAGTCATTAATTGGCTCATAACAAATTTGCACGTGCTGGCTGAGGCATACTTATATGAAATATTGAATATCGCGAAAAACGACAAAAACAACAATTTTAGCAATTTAGACGAAAAGCTTACAAGTAGCACTCAATACAACTATAAAAACACTGTCAGGCCAGTTCCGGTCTCACAGATCAGTCGGGCTTATACTGCCGAGCATTAGGGATTGCCACTGCGACAGCTAGCCACGCAGGACATTGCTGCTTTCCACAACAGTACTCCAAAGAGGATAGAGCATTTTGGTAAAACCATTTATGACTTTAAATTTTTTTTTTTTCGTTGGCATTAGTAGGTGTCGAGAACTCGCGCTGCCACCTCGAAACAAATTATACGAGACGCGAATCCGAAGCGGATTAGTGCCTGCGGAAACCGGCGTGAGAAACAATTTGCGAAAACTTTCTCTCGTCCACGCCAGACGCATACAGGTGGTCTCATTTTCGGCACGCGGCCGAACATGCCGTTTACGGTTTGCGCCTTAGCAGCACACTTAGTTCTGTGAACATCCTTAGGATGTCCCTAGGACGTCCTAACGTTCGGGGATGCCCCACGAACGTCCTCAGGACATCCCCAGAACGTTAGGTTAGGACATCATAAAGGCATCCTAAGGAACTCACATAACCATACTCGGTTTCCCATCAAGATAATAGGCAATTTTGCGCATTGTTCATACGCCGGGCAAAGTGGTGTCTACAAGATTTTGTTGTCGAATGAAAAAGCGATGCTTTTGACGTTTAATACCTGTACGTCTCAATAACATATATCTCACATAAAATACACCTACATATATCTTGCTTCTCCACGTAAAAGGGTAAGTTAATCATGCTCCACTAAAAGCCGGATGTTTTTTTTACTACAGTTTCCGAGGTAAAAATGAGTGTAAGTGTGCTACAGGTGCGCACCTTGCACACTGCATGTCGGGCCCCGGGCTTATACCACGCGCGGAAACCTTTCTCAGGCTCCGCAAGTCTGCAGCCCCATGACTCGAGGCGAGAGTTTTCCAGACACTGTAATCCACCAGGGATGCATCCGTCAACGAGTGTCAGGGCGTTTCGCAACCTAGCGAAACCGCCCCCGTCTGTTGACCCCACAGACCCCTCGCTATGCTTGCGGGCCAATCATATACGCGGGGCTTTTGTGCACGTCTCGCGCCTGCTATTTTAAAGGGGCCCTGCAATCATATTTAAGCGTCTACCTTTTTGCGGTTTCCACGTCTCTCGGGGTTCGGGCAAGCCAGCGGGCACGGAGAGAGTAACTAAGTATCAGTGCGTCATTTTTTATCCGGACGGCGCAGAAACCTCCTCCACCGACGAGGGCGACCCGCGTTGCCGAAAGCGCGCAAAATGTGACGTCTTTGGTCCTGGGCTTACTACTGGTCAGAGCCGCTAAAAGCTTTCTTTTTCAGTCGAAATACAAAATATAAGTGTCGCGAACCGTTTCAATTATGTATGAAAGTAGTTTTTGTTCGGTATTTTATAGATCAGAAAAGAAACAAATGCAGTTTATAAAGTACGGAACCAAGAAAAGACTCGTCGACAAACCCGCCACCAAGCGGCGGAAAAAACGGCGCATACTCGAAAAGGCTAGTGGGGTGAGGCTCTGACGAACAGCGAGCTTAGAAAGGTCCCGGATCTACGCGGCGACGCCGCGGTCGTATAGGCTCCTTGCACATGACGTCATTTCCGATACCCTCCAGAGAAGAGGGGGAGAAGGAGCTCCCCTCTTATCAGGACCCTCCTTTGTGCCTTCCGGATTTGCACAGGCGTCGCTATTCTCCTCCCAGAAGATTATAGAAGATTAACCCGTCACTCAAAATTCTTACAAAAGCAGCTTCCCTCTCCTCCTTTTACTTGGTGTGCAAATGTGTGCGATGTGACGTCAATGCAAGGAGCCTATACACCATCTCATCTCTGTGACGTCACGGCGCGGTGGTGGCGCGTCGGTCGCACTTCCGGTCTGGGGCTGTGGGCAGAAGTCCCCATGCCAGACGTGTATTCCTGCGTTGTTTTGAAAGGAACCAGACAAAAACCTGCCTTCTCGTCAAAACGCCGCGACTGGGGCCGTACCAAAAGTGCCGAGAAAGGTTTAAAGGTCAATTTTCACGTG